CCGGCCTCTGCCCAGGCCCAGCCTCCTCTTTAGCCTAGTCGGATCCAGCTATGCAGATGTTGAGTAAGTAGCTCACCTAAACGAATGTGAAGGAATGAAAAAAATATATAAAAAAAATCGACTTGCTGATTGCAGGGTAACCATATGGAAATTGCCAAAGAGAACTGTCGGATTTTCTAGAGAGAGAATGCAATTGACAATTAGACTGGTGGGATTTTCCAGAGGCCATGCAATTACCATGAATGCGTTTTTTTCTCTTCAGTTTTGGCATGTTTTTCCAGTGTGTTTTGGTTTCCCATTTCCACCAGACCAGACATGTAACCCAAGAAGTCTATGAGCTTAATGTGATTTTTTGGAGCTAGGAATTAGTTGATTGGCTAGTTCTACGTGTGAAGACTTGTCACCCCAAGGCAATTAATGAAGACGGCTGGTGTGAAGACTTCTCATCTCAAGAGCATTGATGAGGGTGGTTGAATGTTGAGTGTGCAGCTGAAGGCAGCTTCCTTCCTAAGTTGAAAGGCGAACTATACCAACATTATAAAGAGGAGCAAACACAAGGGAGCAAAATAGCCAGGAGCAATTCATACACCCTTCCATAATCATTTCCTCCTCAACTTTTCAACTTTGAACCCAAGCTTGTAGTCATAAATCCAAAATCAAAGTAAAACAGAGCTGCCAACCAGCCAATTACCTTTCATGGATGGACCATAAACAGTTGCTATTATCTATCTATTCTTTTGCTGTCCTAACAGTAATAGGCCAGATTTGAGGCGATATACATCAGTAATTCCTCCAGATTTGGAAGTGTAACTTTTCCAGGGAAAAGATGCAGGATTTGCCTACTAGTTTCCAATGGGAGAGTAAAGCATTACTGAAGCTATTCTAGGTCTAGGGACGATAATAATTATGAGGTCAACAACATGGACAACTACATCAACATGAGATGCTGCTAAAGAAGATTGTTTGCAAGAAGAACTATTCTTCTTGTAGCTGCTTGTAGCCTAGACAAATGTATATTTCCAACGATTATAATAGGTAATTGAACTATGGTTGGCGTATTGTCATTGTTATTGAACGTTTTCAAAATAATTAAATAGCAACTAATAAGTACAAAAGCCAGAGGAACTTTCTAGCTTCTTACTAGCAAACCCAGAAGCTAACCTTAATTTTGGAAGATCTATTGCAATTTGGAGTTAAACATACACATTCTTTGACATCTTAATTTTGCTACCTAATCCTACGTTCTATTTGCATTTACAGAACCTTTTCACCTTTGTAAGAAAAAAAAAAAAGAGAGAAGAATTTCACCTAAGCTTCCCTTGTCATTTCTTTTGGTCTAAAAGCTTGCTATTAACAACTTCAAAGCCAGACGACTAGACTGTGAACCCTCAACCTGAT